GCGAAAATTTCCAAATCTGGGAATACATTTTTTTAATCGCCGTTATTAATATGAATGTCGGCTAAAAGACCAAATATGAAAAAAAAATCAGTTATTGGACATCGTAGTGGGCCGCATAAAAACATGAACTGGGCCGCAGTTTGAATACCACTGATCTTGGGTGATTTTTCACGTTAACTTTATTAATATATCATAATTTTCCTACGGAACGCATTCGGCAGATGTGCGCATGCTCATGCTACCGGGGCCTCTCCAAGGTAGTTGCTAAAGAAAATGCGTCAGCATAAACCAAGAGAACGAAAGGTCGCGTGGAGAGCCATATCGCACTACGATCCTCGACCCGGAACTCGTTATCGCGCCTTTAAGTATGCGCCTTGGTGTAAGTCGTCTCGTGCAACGCAGAACCGTTTGCATTGTCGTTGGCTTATCTGCGCCTATTATATTACCTTCCTCTTTTCCGTCCACACTGAAAAAAAAGGGTTTGCGTGAAGAGACTCGGTACCCCCGAGACGGGTCGAGCGAGCACCCCAAACACCCCGAGCACCCCACCAGGAAGTGCTCTGCACGCAATTCATATCTCCCATTAGACTCGCCACACGGGATCGGACTTTGCCCCAGTCTGTCATATCGCTTCGTCTTCCTACACATCTCGTTGCGGCGTCAACTCCACCCATAACTCCCCATGTGGGCGCCCTAGACGATGAAGTTCGGGTGGTACTGGCTAAATGAATCGTGCAGAAGAAGACAACGTCGACTGAGAGTCACGAGGCTACGATGACGCCTCTATCGTATACATCATTCAGGAGCCTCTGATATCGTCCAGGCTATATAAGGATAGACCCGAAGTGCGCTCCACTGGCAACGTCAATTGTTTCCAGACGTAGAAAAACGTCCTACACTGCGATACGTCAGACGATATAGGTCGGACTTTTCCTTGGATGCCCTTTAACTCTATGATATGTCGTGAGTGTGTCGGACCGATGTCGTCTGGAAGCTCGAAAGCCAACAGGAGTGAAGTCGGGGAATATCAGCAGGCGATTCTAGGTATCGTCTGCCGATGGCTGTTCCCCGAGATTATCCTTCCCTGGATTGGCAACGTGGGGTCACGGAGCACCATACCGCAGAAGGGCGGTCTGAGAGAACGTTAGAGAAATTCCGAATTTCGGATTTTATAAGTTCCAGAGAAACGAGGAGAGAAAAAAGCGGACGCCCCCGGGTGGGATCGAACCACCAACCTTTCGGTTAACAGCCGAACGCGCTAACCGATTGCGCCACGGAGGCTCTTGCTATACCTTCTTCATGAGGATGGATGTTGAAGAGAGCGAAGTCTGTTGGCGGAAGTGGGTGAAAGGAGGACGGAGGAAGAGACTGTAACATCTCCATGGAGATGCTCTATACAATGAACCACGAACTTAGAATAATGAGGGACTTGCATCATCATCGTCAACAGGGAACCGCATGCCGTTAGCCGCAGGCTCCGTGTCGTCTTTTCATCTCTTTTTTTTTCTCTCGCCATCGATAAGATGGGGGTGACAGTCGAGAGCTTCAGCGATAGGGATTTTACTCTTCAATGGACGAAGAGAAAATTTCACCAAGGTCAGTCGAAGAGAATTGCGGCGGAAAGAGTTGCATTTATAAATGGGAAAAAACGATGAAATCCTCCTTAAACGCAGAAAAAAGCCAGAATGCACAGACCTCGTTCAGGCTCTTCGAGGACCGTTACTTAAAGGAGGTTTCAGCATTATTAATATTCCACGCGAAATCATTATCTCCAGGGGAAAAGTAAAAATAAAAATAAAAAAGGTTTTCGGTTAATAAATCATTCATTTATAATGAATGATTAACGAATAGAAGGTAAAGCCGGGTTCAACTTTAACCATGAGCTATCTCAATGTATCTTCTTTGGTACCATTTCTCAAATTGTGGGTCGCGACACCCCTGGGGGGGGGGGGGGGGGGGTTGTGAAGGGGTCACGGGGGGGCGCAAAGGGATCGCAGGAGAATCGTGAAGACGCAGCATATTGCTTTTCCTTCGTTGCTTTCTCCGCACCAGGCAATACAGCAGAGAAAAACTTTCGGACTTTTTTTTGTGCGCCGTGAATCAAAAGAAACGCCAGTGGAGAAATAGTCCAGTAACGCCTCGGTAACGCCTCGGTAACGCACGTAAATTTACCACGTTTGGAAGCCTAATAGGCTCATGAATGACTTTTCCCACATTTTCCAACAAAATCAGAAATGATTTCGGTACATGTTTATGACAGATGAAATCGTGAAAATTGTATAACCGCCAGACGAGAAGAATCCCCAAATTCGCAGATGCTCGGTCGTGGGATCCCGAAGAAGATTTTTGCGCAGCATCCATCCAACAATAATTTGCCCTGCCGCTTCGTTAAATAACAATTTTCAAGGTTTAAAAATAAATCTAGAGTTAAATTATTATAACACTTTCGCTTTTACGTGTGGATCTAAATCCCATTATAAATAATAATAAAATAAAAATATCACAGCCAGAAAATGATCGACTTCACACTGGAAATCTAACCTCCGTGGCTTGCTGGTAATTTATTTAAATTTACGGTGTAATTTTACCTTTTTTAAATTAAAGGATAAGGAATACCTTTTTTTTGCCTGCATCATTACAGTAGAAAGAACTAAAAACGTTCGAGGAGCCAAATGGTTTCCTGAAAAATGATGCTAAATTACAGACCATACTATTTTAATTATCGTGTACATCATGCACTCGATGTCCATTTTTTTTTGGGGGGGGGAAGGGGAGGGGGGGGGGGAGGGGGTAACCTGAGTTAAAGACATTCATCCACGAATCCGAGAAGAAACAATGGCAGACCCGATCTTACCTATCGAGCCATGGACATAAAAAATCTAGTCGATATCCGTTGAAACCTGCCAATTGTAGTTGCGGGGTTGGACTCGGGCAAATGCACTCGAGCTACTGGGGGAAAAGTAAATGAATGACTAAGCTTATAAGCAAAAGAACTTCCGAGCACGAGTAACGAAATTTGCATGAATAAATGCAGATCGACTGCAAAAATGCGAAAACAGACTTACAAACTTATGAAAATAACAAACTGGAAAACGTAAAATCGATTCGAATAACAGCACGCTCGCGAGTAATTTCTTTTTGCTTGCAACTAAATCACGTGAAAAATCAATGATCTTATCGTCCCTGACGGTTGTCATTCTAATAATGTTGGCCTGGCAGGGCCGACCGGAATCCGCCTCCGAGTGGAAGGAGAAGGGTCGGAGGGTCGAATGTCTCTCGTGTACAAGCGACTGATCGAGGCGCTGGACCCGCTGGACGACGACGAGGTCCCCGACCCGGGGGACGTCCTCGACGAGGACGCCGAGGAGCTGGCCGACGTCCGTCAGAGCGGGCGGGTCCGTCCCAGCCGTCGGCTGAACCCGACCTCCTGCCTCCCGAATCCCATGCGACCGGATTGGCGCCTCCATTCGGGGATCGGCGGGATGCTGGCTCTCGCCCTCCTTTCCGCCTTCCTGCAGGGCTATGGCCTTCGCCTCAGGCACTGGATCTGTGGGCGCTTCTATCCCCTTCGGTAATTATTCTTCCGATTCGAACCATAACCTTGCATCCGCAAACGTTAAGTGATGAAAGTGACACACGCACAAGACGATAATAATAATAAATCTAACATTTGACAAATGTTGATAAAAATAAGGAACTTTTCCATTCCGTTTTCCCTTTCCTTTCCCCGCACTTTCCTTTCGAGGCAAATTATCGTTTCTCTTGGCTTTTCGACCTCCCCTTTAATGATGTCTAAATTTATGATTCGAGACGATTCCGTATGATCACGAGGCGAAACGATATTTCACAACCAGCACCTCCTCGATCCAATGGTGTCGTAATAATCGGAATTATAGAGAACGCGAGCGCGGCATCCACCTCTACAACGAGATTCTCGCTCGGCGGGTGAATCTCCTCGGCCTCTTGCGGAGGCTCCTCCGTCGCAGGGGCGGCAACGAGTCGCGGCTTTCGCGACTTCCGCGGGGGAGCGTCGTCGTCGTCGCCTTCTTCGCCCAGTTGGTTTCTCTCGATTCCTTTGCGAGAAAAAAAAAATCGAAAATTTATGACGTGATTTCGGGGGTGAAAGGCATCCGTGGTTGGAGTCTTTGGGTCGAATACTGGGATTCGCACAGGTCACCTGCTTCTGCTGCGCTTCCCCTCTGGACCCTGGGAACCCCGGATCCTACAGGTATTTTTCAGCTTTTTTACACTTCAATTCCAAAACTTTTTTTAGATGAAAAGATGGCGTATGATGGTGCATAGGCAGTGCATGAAGGTCGGCTGCAGCCGGCATTACTGCTTTCAATGTTTCAAGGACCTTAACAACGAGTGCACGGCCTGCCTCGATCCTGTCGACTACGGAGATATTTCCGACATCAGCGAAGAGGAGTGAGAAAGAACTTTAAGCTTAAGATACATATTACCTAATTAACTGAGGATTCCGAATGAGGATTATTGCTAACGGAAACGCAGGGACTCGTCCGGAGACGAAGAGTTTCGCCCGACGACGAAGCGATCCGCGGCGGGAAGCGAGAAACCGATGGGATCCCCGGACGAGGATCACGTGACCGAGCCGCTGACCGATCGGAGACGAGGCCGGATGGAGGTCCCACGCGATCCGGATGCATTCGCCTACCAGTACGCCGGTGTCCAGCCGGACACCGCCCTCGAACCGGAGCCCCTGCGCTATGCCGAACGATCCGATTAAATAGAGACGTTTCCGAAAAGTCCACGGAAGTACGGTATTGTGCGAAATGGGAGGGGGCGAAGGGTGGACGACCCTCGTAATCACAGATCGATGGACATGCACGGCATCCGCCCCGTTTCCGTTTTCCGGTGCAGCTGCACAGTTATACGCGTACATCCTCACGCCGGATGCATGCAGAACAGTACACACCCGATGAAGCCAGCGCGAGTTGCTCGCTCCGTCGTCTAACGCTGTGGTTTCGTTCGCGTACGACATGGGTGAGTTTTTCGATCCAGTATTCGCTTTCGACGGAAGACCGCCTTTGCCTCGCTGCGACGATTCGAATTCGCTGTTCGGTTCGGTTCGGTTATTGAATGGTCGCTTGCGTCATCTCGAAAGCTTTCATCGTTGAATATTTCGAGAAGTGCTGGCACTAACATCACCTCAAAATGTCAGCGCTTAAATGTGAATTCGGGACGATGGAGTTCATAAAAAGTGGTAAAATATAGGTTAGGACTTCTACGAATATTTTTCTCGGCGAAAAAAAAAAAAGCGAAACGCATGCGAGGGGTGATGAAAAAGTTCGAAGCCTGAGACACTTCCAGTTGCAATACACCATTGTTAATCTTCTCATGAGAAGGCAGTTGCCTCTGATGGTGACTTGCATCCCGGTTACATCCCGGTCACAGGTTCGAAAAGCCTTCGCAGCATTCATCTGAATTATAAAACCACTTCAGCTGACGCTTTGGTAGCACATCATCAAAAATATCTGGGACGCTTACTTTTAATTAACAAATAAGATGAAACTTTGTCAGTCACCATCAAAGCCCCCCCCCCCCCCCCCCCCCCCCACCCCCCCTACCCCCCCCCCCCCCCCCCCCTCCAAATAACGGACTGTTCCACGAGAACGATTGATGTCCTCAGAATCGCTGACGTGGTCGGAGCTGCACGAGGCCGAGACGCACCTCCACCTCCCGTCGCTGACCCTTCAACCCGACTCCCTCGTCGCGAATCGGCACTGGAACTGCAAGGAAAGCGAAGGGAGCAAGCGGGCGAGGTACGTCTGCGCCCTGTCCGCCAACAAGATCCAGACGGTGCTCGACCTCCTTCTCCTGTCCAGGTTGGTCGAGGGAGGGGGAGGGGTGAGGGGGGGTGAGGGGGGGAGGGGGTGGAGGGGTGAGGGGGGGTCGAGATGGTTTTACCTTTTGGTTGTGGTTGCAGGGAGGTGAGGCCTGTTTTGTCGGCGGGGACGTTGTCGCAGTGCCGGGAGGTGATTCAGGCGAGGTGTCGCGGGATTCAGATCGTTTTTAAGCACCTCCAAGCCCTCTTCCACGATAGGAGACCCGACTGGAACGACGTAAGGACATCAAAAAAATCGTCAAGTTAATCGATGTATTTGACTATCTGTCTTTTAAAACTCGATCGGTGACTATTCGTTACCTCTTGAATGATGTTGGAACCGTTAGCTGTCTCAAAATTATAACCTGAAGATCTCACGATTGTAAAGGAAGATTAAATTGAAAAAAAAGATACAATTGAGATATTAAAAAAAAGCGCGAATTCGATACGATACCCGACGAAAAACTAGAAGCGTGGAAAGTCTCCCTTCCAAACTGACGATCCCTGCCCTCACTGATGACCCTCACCCCCCAGGTCGCCTCGAGCGTGGAAGGCCTGAGCGAGCTGAGCATCGCCCTGCTGGAGAGTTCCGGCCACGCCGCTTATCTCATGGGAGTCCTGCAGGAGGGAAGCTCCCCGCACGTTCCCGGCCCGGTGGATAAGTTCGTCCGCCAGTCCGATCCCGGCGGCGCTCCGCGGTTCGGGTCGTCGGGGGCGTGACGTCAGCGATGGACGAAAAGTTTGGGGGAGTCGACTCGAGGGAGGTTGGAATGAGTGACGTCATCGAGCCCGTCGACTTGGATCGCGGATGCGATAAGGGGCGAACTCAAGTTATCATATTTTGTCACTTTAGACAGTTTTGTGGAAAGGAATGGAAGCTCTTTTCCCTTATCATCGCGCTCGACACGAGACAGTTCGCCTTCGTTCCCTTCGAAAAATTCCCAGCATAGCAGACCACGGGATAAGCCTGAAATTCTACCTATAATCCACTCTCTAGGGGGGGAAAAATTTAATGAACTTCTTAAGTGTGCGGGAGACGTCGTAGAAAAGTTGGAATCACTTTTTTTCATGCAGATACGGGATGAACAGGGCGGCGGGAGAAGTGGAACATCGCTCCAAACTCCTCAAGTCTGCCTCAATTGATTCACTCACCTGCTCTGTGAGCAAACCTCTCTCTCTCTCTCTCTCTCTCTCTCTCTCATCCATTGGTATACAATGGGAAAACCACATGACTGAAGAATCTTAATAAGAGGATATTGATTTGTTGTCAGAGAATTTTCTTAATTAACCCTCATCTGCATGAGCATATATTTCTCCATGACTGCACGACGTGGGTTCGTGACCCCGACGTGAAATCATTACGGAAATACATACAAAAAAAAACTTCTTTTTTTTTTCCCCAGCGCAAATGTGATTCTCGATCGGGAGAGTTTACTTGAGGAATAGTCTGAATTCTCTTGGAAGTTAGCAAAAAAAAATTTCCGGCACAAAAATCGGCAAGAAAACCGTATGAGGTCTTTTTGATCGCAGGGTTTTCACTGAAGACCGATTCACAGCAATCACAAAATGTTGAGTTTACGTGTAATGTTTCGTAAGACAGTGATAATGCAGAGTAATGAATAATAAAATGGAAATGTATAAAATAGATGCGTCTGAACATGGGACAGTTTTGAGTGGATGCAACTTAGCACGTCACGCGATAACGCTTTGGCAGACTGGCAAAATGTTGCCAAATGCCAGGATGCCATGCGATACCGACGAAGTTCTCGACGGGAGGCAGGCCCGCGGATCGTGAACGCGAATCGTCTGTGTGCACGCAGGGGCTGACGGAAACGAGCGAGAGCGTGAGCGACCACGTGAGCTGGATCGCGGAGACGTGCGCGAAGGCGTCCGAGTCCGTCTCTCCTTCGTCTCTGCAGGAGCAGTTCCGCCTCTGCGCGAAGGCGGTCAATTCCGCCCTCAGTGCCTTCCTCTGCAGCATTCGCGCCTTCAAAGGCATTCTTTTTTTCTTCTTCTTCTCTCCTTTTTCGAAGTATATGATGGGTAAAATTTGCAAAAGGTGGCAAAAAAAAAACAGGCTCACCGAAAAGTGAGTGACTTCCCGGTAAGGATAATAAAATATTTACTAAAAAAAATGTTGTTCCAGATCGGAGTTCGGAGGAGAACCTCCGTTCCCTCCGCGTCTTCGGCGAGGCACTGAGCAGCACCTCCAACGCCGTCGTCGTGTTCGCCTGCACCACAGACCCCGCCCTCGTGGGTCTCCCCGCCTCCCTCAGCCCCCCGGGCCGCGAGTCCGCCAGCGGCATCCTCAGCGCCTGCCTCGCCACCACCGCCCCGTGCGTCATGGCGTGCAACCTCCTCAAGGATCGCTGCTGCTTCCCGGGCGACGACGCGGACGTCCTGAGGGGGAAGCTGGGGATCTGCAGGGAGGCCGTGGCGAGGGGATGCATCAAGCTCTGTCACGCTCTGGGTCTCAACTCCCCTCGCACCCCATGACTCTGCTCTCTCTCCGTATTTTCACATTTGATTTTTACATAAAACTTATGTTCGTCCATTCATCGACTTTTTCCGCGTTCTTCAGGACCATGACTTCAGGACCATGACCATGAATGATTCATGGGACAGGTTGTTATTTGTATTATTTGTGCATGATTTCTTTTTTTTTCTTCCAATTGAGAATTTTCATTATTTATTCATTTTCGCTAAGTGTGGCTATGTACGAATATGCAGACTTATTTTTTTTTTATATATTAATATTCTGTCAGTCATTAAAAAAAAAGTATTATGGCTTCAACTCCACCTGCATTCATTCGCTCTCCTATTCATATACGGAAAAGTCAATCGGAATTCTGCACAATGAAATCCTCTGCCATCTCAAGCTGAAGCGATGCAACAACGAACGATTAGTGAAAAACCACAGCATTGCCAATTCATTCGAGCTGAGTACGACTTCGCGAAACCCGCATACGCACAACTTTTCACACCATGCATAAAAAAAACTGGACCCAAAGGAGTCACCCAATGAAAAGCACGGAACCGAATCCCAACAGAGGGTTGCATCCCTCGAAGCCTAGAAACGACCCGACGCCTCCAGGATGTTCCTGGCGAATCCCCCGCAATGAAATTCTTCGTGTTATTTCTCCTGCCTGCAGGCCTCTGCTTGGCCTCCCCTCTCACAGGACCCGACCCTTCCCTCCCTTGGCTCACCGAAAGGGAGGAACAATCGAAGACACTCGTCGACTCGACGAGGTTCCATGGCTCCGATACACGCATCGGTGAGTCTCCCAAGCGATCAATTTAGTCATGACATTGTTCCTTTGGCTCCGATGCCAATTGAAACACGAGAATCGATGCGAACGACAGCCGAAGGGCAGACGGTGGGACCTACCCAAGCAACGGGACTACCCCAGCAGCCGGAAGACGCCCCTGGATCGAGAAGACAGCAACAGAGAGGAAATCACGAGTCTTCGAATGCGCTGAAACTAGCAGACGGCAGAGATTCCGGAGACGAACAGAAATTGCCGACAGACGGAAATCCCGGCGAGCAGAAATCGTATTCCGGAGATGAGGAAGAAACCAGTGAAGATCCCGGAGATGAGCAAGAACCGGATGCTAACGGCCAGACACCGGAAGAATCGGAGCATAACGCAGGTAAAAATTCCCTCACCTCATTCCTCAACCCCTTCGAGTCCATTCAATGTTCAATCCTAGCCTGAAGATCTTGAGCGACAACCTCCAATTTGCCCCCCCTCCCCCCCCCCCCCCCCCACCAGAAACGTGAACCCATTCGCCCTTCTTGTCTCTCGCCCCTCGACTGCTAAAAGACAGTGAAAAAGCGAATTTGGTCGGGAAACGAGCCGGGCAGCGCTGCGAGGTGCAGCTGCGGCTGCAATTCCCCTTCGATTCCGCGAAGTTACGAGGCCATCAGTTACGAGGCCTTTATTCCGGCCCTTACATTCATCTTCTCGAGTAGAAAAAAAAAGGTCGAAGTAATCCTTTGAAGTTTCACAAAATAGGTTTTACAAGAAAATGAGTTCTCCATCGTTCCTCGTTTTGTATGGCCGGAGGGAGACTTTACGACACGTAATCGTGAACATTGCTGCACCTCTTCCGGATCGAAGGAATTTTTCCTTAGACGTCTCGAAACGAGAGGTGGAAGTTGTACGTGGATCCTTAGACTTTCCGCGTTGTGCCGAATTACGGAGTTCCAATCCTCGTTTTAGAAAGAAGGCCACTTTCAATTTGTTTGGATCTCCGCGCGTTCACGCACAATTGACAGAAGAAACGAGACGGGGCCCAACTATACGCAGCATCGATCTCTCGATCCCTCGAGACAGGGCTCGTCACAGTCTAATCGATGACGTCCCGCTCGCATCGAATCGCCGAGTTGCATTTCGGAACTCTTCGATTTTCTTCGCCGGTAGTCCCTAACGGTTGGCTGCCGTGGTCTCGTTTACGTTCCGGTCCCACTCTTCCCTCGAAGCCCAGCAAGACGACGCGAAATCCCCCTCGGAACCAGACTCCACCTCGTCCCCCCCGACGACCGCGGACGCAACCGTGCCCCGCTGGACGATCGGCCTCATCGTCCTCGGCCTCCTCGGTTTCTCGTTCCTCGCCTGCCTCGCCCTCGCCTTCATCTGCACGGCGGGGAAGAAGGCGGCAGGGAAGAAGGCGGTCGAGGGCGCCACGCATCGAGACGAGGCGGCCGCTCCCAGGGCCAAGACCGTCACCGTCGCGTTCACCGGCGAGGGAAGCACGACCGGAGAGACTTCCGCCGAGAAGAAGAAAAAGAAAAAGAAGAGGAAGTCCAAGAAGAAGAAATCGAAAGAGAAATCTCCGGCACCAGCCACACCTCCATCCGCACCTCCCACGCCTCCACCCACACCTCCCACGCCTCCACCCACACCTCCCACCCCTCCCGCCTCTGCTCCAAAAGAATCGAGCACGTCCGGCGAACCAGAGAGCACGAGCGCCGCTCCCGGATCCGAAAAGCCCGAGGACGCAGCAAAGGCAGAAGCGAACGCGAAACCCAAAGAGGAAGGAGCCACGATCGAGGCTGGGGCGGTGGATCCCCACAAATCACATTCTGACGCCCAGAAGTCTTCCAGTTGAGGATCCCATATCTTCTCTTTCTTTTCGAGACTGTTTCAAGACAGTCCCTCCGACCTTTCAGTCTTTCGGTCCTTAAAGGAAAATAAATTCTCCTATTCTGACCCATATCCCAGGACGGGGTGGAATGCATTTATGAAATAAACGCTTACTTTGCTGTCTCCTATTTGCTGCATATAATGTTTCCCCTGTACACGAAGGACTCGACCTTAAGCACTGTACGCTTAATCCCCAAAGCTCTCGTTTACTCCAGAGTTACGAAAAACAAGGCTGGAAAGCCCATAAAACATGGCTTAGAAATCGCGCAAAAGCCATGCACAGGAGAAACACAGTGCAGAAGATGAAGACGACCGCGATCCAAATCAGCATCCGAGACTGTCGCCTCTCCCGTCCGGATTTAAGCATCCCCCTCCTCGATCCGGACACCCCCCACCTCGATCCGGACACCCCCCGCCTCGATCCGGACACCCCCCGCCTCGATCTCCTCCTCCCCGTCGCTGAGTCTTTCGACCCAGCGGGGATTTCCCAACCGTCTCCGCTGGGACCGGGAGGTGGCGATCGGATCGACGGGTCGATTGCTCCGAACCGAGATCTGCATTCCGCTCCGAAAT